ATCGGGCGCTCGGCGCTGTTTTGTCTCCCATTGACTTCAAGGTTAAAGGCAACAGGGGTCATTATGCTGTGGGAGGATAACTGCTAAGGTCAAGGGTGACACGCGGTACATCCCTCCCCCACAGCACGGTGCAGGTTTGATTTGTCATCAGTATCGAGCTGATTCCACTTGGAGTGAAAATATTGTGTACCAACAAAGCCTGTGACTGTTAGCATTAAAGTTCTTCTTCCTGCCGAGGAGACGGCGTGTGCGTCCGTGTTTCCTGTGCGTAACCTTTGAAAATGTCTCTTAAGCAGGACTATAAAAGTGAATAAAGCGTTGCTATGAGAACAAAGGTTTTATCTGGTCAGCTCCACAAAATCTGCAGCAAAGATCTGCATGTGTAAAATTTTCAGGTTAAGGATGTTTTTCTCTACGTTTGTCCCCTGGTGAAGAATTTGAATCCTCGAACGTGCACGTACAAATATGCTGGTCAGGTCCTTCGTACGACACGCTGCAGTCGTGCACAGCTGTGTTTGATCTCCAGCAGACGACACACCTTTAGGTTTTCTCTCTTCTTGACAGATTCAGTTAGATTTTGGGTTTGTTGCCCAAACCACTGTTACTGTAACACAGATATTCTTACACATTATCAAACTAGTGATTCAGTTGATGGAACCATGAATCCTGAAGGGAAAAGTTTGGGCGTCAGTTCGTTCCCTGCATGGATCTGAAACATCCGCTCGTTCTCCTCTGACTAACTGAAGCGTTTGGAGCGCTCGTATCAGTGTCTGGACTTGAATCAGACTGAGATGCTTTGCGATTAATTTTATTGGCCGTTCGTGGCTGAAAACCCTCCAGCTGGATCAGTCACAGTTACTTTTTCACACCTTAGAATAACTTAAAATAAAAACTGCATTTTGTTTTTACTCTGGTCATTTCTAATGTTACAATTTGTTTGATGATCTGAAACATTGAGGTTCAACAAATATGCAAAGAAATAAATCATCAAGAGGCGAATGCTCCTTTTTGGTTCACAGCAGATTCTGAAATACTCAGACCAACAATTAAGCAGAGATGGACACTTACAAGTAACGCGTTACTGTAATCTGATTACTTTTTTCAAGTAACGAGTAAAGTAAGGGATTACTATTGCAAAAACGGTAATTAGATTACCGTTACTTTCCCGTAGGAACGCTGCGTTACTG